TTCTCGGGATGACAGCACTGTAAAATTCGGCTGCTGTGACTCATGTGGCCTTCCACGCATCGGAAAGGATATCAGATCAGAGCAAACTTTTCGTTGCTCACTAGAAGGGCGTCCGGCGTAATTCCAAGGCTTGCTTCAATGCGATGACCGGAGATCGCCATGATAAGCTAGCCGCGATGGACCTTGGCATATTTAATTTTAACAATAATGCCAGCTTGTTTATGTTTTTCATCATTCCTATTTTGTTATGTTTTGTTTTTGAACACGAAACTATATACTACACAAGTGTTAGCTGTGTTTGATTTTTATCACCTTAAGTAATTAAGTTTGCAATCTAACTGAGCGTGAAAAACCTTCAAAACTCAGACTGTCCATTTCACTTTCTCTTGAAGGAGATTCATCTCTGTTCACGTCAGTTAAGGCGCTTGGCATTTTTACAAACCTTTGTTTGGTTCTTCTGTTGCTACTCTCCGGCTCGCTTATTCCAAAATTTCACTTCCAATTAGCGAAAAAAAGCTAGAGAGAGGTCCGAGAAGAGGTTGGACACAATACAATTTGGCAAATGGCGTGACAACCTCAGTTCAGCTCTATGTTTTGTACACTGATAGAGCACGCTTTTTCAATCAATGACAGCGCGCGTTATATCTGAACTATATATAAATAAAACTACTTGAAGATTCCAATGCTATTAATTACAAATAAATTCCCAGTATCACGGTTTGCTTTTTATAAATTTTCAGCGAATGAAGTAATTTCAGGTTCGGTTGATGACAGCTTTTATTCTTCTTCTCACAGTTGGTTCAGAGACAGTTATTATTTCTACAGCGCTCCTTCTGCAGATTGTTCATGTTTTCCACGAAACCCTGCAGTAATTTGTTTTGTGTGTCAATTAACAAACACAGCTGCCGTTATCAGGAGCTTTACAAAAGTAATTTCTCAGAGACTGAAAGTTTTTCCTTCAAATTTTCTAACTGTTATTACGTGTAGACTGAAAAACCGTCGGCATCCTCCAATGAGGTTGTTTTAAACTTTAAACCATTTCTGGTCGAGGAGCAGGTGTTAAGAACAAGGTTTAAAGAATATGTTTTAAAAGAGAAACTTGACTTTAAGAAAGAAATCTGAAAGGGTAAAGATTTTCATACTAGATTACCACCAACCAATAACTGAGAAATTTCAACTGATTAAGAATTTCAATTGTTTTCTCTCTTTCCTTCTTTTTCAAGAGGTGAGGAGGAAATGATTGATACTCAATTGTTTTATCACAAATACTGGCTTACTGATGTGACATTTTGATTTCAATAGGAAATGACGACAAAGGTAAGGTTTATCGTCGGATAATTGTAACTGCGAGGAAATAAAAGAGATGTAGGAGTCAACTGAGGTTAAACATCTCGGAAATAAAAGTTAACTTTTATTTATGCTTCCGCTCAGCTCAAGTGCATTTAAGTTGAATTGCGTAATTTTTACATCTACAGTCTATTTTAAGCTTAGAATTAAAGCATACAATGTTTGTTTACACATAATTTCTTGATCACAAAGATTTTAAGACAAACAATGAGCTGTCATAAGCCTAAGCACGTTTAGAAATTGTAGCTAAAATTTATTTTACTGTCGTATCGCTTTTTAACCAAAATTCATAATTAACAACTCTCCTTTCAAAAACGTTCAAACAATTCTGAAATTGCGAAAACAGTATTTTTTTTTTCCACAAAACCTTTCCATTTATTTTCTAGAAGCTTGAAAGGATGCTAATTTTGGAGACATATGCATGATACATGACAAGCATATTTTAAACTGAGAGTTCCGAATGCGTCATACCAGAGTAAAATCTTTTAGGATAAGACGGAAGACGCCAACTTTTTGCTGACATGCAAGAAATCTTGTGTCTTTGCGTCATAGTTAGCGCGCAATGATCGCAAGGAACACAGACGGTTTTGGACGGAACATTTGACAAGTTGCGTCAGAAATTATTTTACGGTCGTTGAAAATTGATGTCAGTTTCAACTTGAAAAAATAAGGAAAGCAATAATGATTGCTTGCCAAAGTAAACAAACTTAAGTAATTAATTAATCAAGGATGATGAAGATTAAAATGAGTCTCAGATGATAAACTTGACAAATTTTTGCTGATTTGTATAAAGTGCAAGTTACCAGCCTTTAGTGTGGAGGACGCCAAATAGAAATGTTTCTAACAAACGAGGAATTAAATATGTGGTAAGCTTGAAATAGCCGTGTTTTACAATGTACAAAATTAGATTTAGCGTTAAGAAAACCAAAAAAATATGATTTTGGTAGGACGGGAGAAAACAACATCGAAGAGGATTTGCTAAAAGTGAACGACTATTGTTCAGGATGGAGAAGATTTTAAGTATTGGAAATAGCTAACTTGAATAATTTTGGCAAATATAATAGATGCTCTTATCATAACAATGCCTCTTTAAAGCATATTTTGCTTGCAAATTAAGATTAAAAAGGTCATGACCAAATAATGATGATAAAAGCCGTTTGATGGCAGCCGAGGACTTTTTTAAGCAACTTAACTCGAGACTTACGACATGAATCAAACAAGCATGAAAATGAGAACAAGCATCCACCTTGTCGTTCGATTTTAACATTATTTGGTCAACCTTCACGCAAATGACAGACTGCAATACTATGCATTTGCTGTCTGCTTCCTGAATTTTCATGCAAAAATGTTCACGCTTGTTAGGAATTGGAGATATTTTGCTAGTTTTTCAATTTCATCCTCTCTTGGTATCAATCAATCAGAACTAGTTGGCTTTCATCTTCAGTGCTGTTATAAACGTCACTGCCAAAATAAAAGCTATCTACTATTATTTTCGATAACACTTGGGTACAAGCTTTGTAATATAACAACAGAGAAGGTCGGTCTCTCCCTACGTCACTAAAAATACTGAGTGAAAGCGTTTGGTGTGTTCAGAAAAGTTTAAGACATGATCTGTGCTTCGTAAAAGGAACTTCACTCCAACTCTAAAGACTCTCAGTCTTGTGGTCATCTGGGTGCTTCGCTTTTCACCTTTAGTTTTATTTGGTTTTATATCGCTAACAATACTGAATAAAACCGTGTGCTGTGTTCGAAAAAGCTTCAGCACAAAATCTGTGCTATGTAAGAGAAACTGGTATTCAGTGGCTCAAAAGTCTCGAGGTCTTATTTTCATTTGAGAGCCCTTCAATGAATAACGAAAATCTTTAGAACCTTTCCAAATAATGCCTTCACCTACATAAGAGTTAGGCCCACGTATGTAAGGACCATTCAAAAAAGCCCTGTGACACCACTTAAACCACCATCCACCATGGTACTTAAGGGCACAGTTCACATTGGGATTGAAATCGTTGTCTTCATCCGGAGTAGTAAATGGCCAGCCATGATGACGAGAGAAGGAGTCACCAGCGGTTCCTGAGAAATTTACCAAAGCAAAAACCAGGAAAGTATTTAAATGTTATACAGTCTTCAGTGGCGGATCCAGACCTTGAGCAAACGGGGAGGGGGGCCATTTTTTTTTTTTTTTTTTCGTCGCTAGCCCGGCCGGCTTTACTTCCTTCTGCGATTATTTTCTCTCTTTTTACCCAAAATAAGGAGGGTATAAATATATATGTTGTATAAATAAGGTTTAAGTTTTTACACTTCCTTCCGCGCTTATGAATTCTTTTTCTGCATCCACGCTTGTTAGAGCTCAATTCACTACAGAAAATATATATACAGCTACCAAAATGGCTTCGAAGAAATGTAAGAAATGAAATCAAAAGACGACACCGATAGGGTTAATAACATATCTCAATTATTCTCGTCCCAAGAATCAGAACCCTTCAAACACTATTTTATGAACAAAGGCTGAAAAGGAAAAAATAAAAAAGTGATCTCGTGAATATCTAAATCGTTTACTAAATGATTATCGAGTTTCTTTTTACTTGAATAAACCGCTGGGCTTAGTGCATTCCTAGTTTCCCTAACAATGTTCTGCACTGTAGTAAGATTTCCGTCTCTGTTTGTGTTGAAATTGATGTTGTTAGCTTTTCTGCACAATGTGCGTTTAAATTAGTTTAGTCACCTGCTGTGTTATAAGAACCAAGGATCAACTGATACTTGTCATGTTCACTCCTGACACCAAACAAGCTGTATTCAGCATAAGTACTTCCCCCTTCGAAGTCCTCCATGTCTACTCGTAGCATGCTGTTATTATCTAAAGTCAGGCGATGAATCCTGTCCAAGCCAAGCCAAAATTCGCCACTGAGATTTCCGAAGCCATGCTTATAATCGCTCCAGTTGAGATTGAAGTCAACGGAACCGTCGATTCTCTTCTGGAATACCGTTCATCCTCCACCAGCTGTTGTTTGGTCGCAGAAGACGTCAAAAGCTGACTGGTTGTCAGGTTTGATGACGTACACACCGTCTCTTTTTTGGCCTGATTTAAAGATGTCAGCGCAATTTCTGAAAGCTAGAATAAAAAAGACAATTTAATCGCGTATATTAAGCAGCAAACAACAAGGTATTGAATGGATTAGAACAGTATCTTCACTGATAAGAGCAATAAACAAAATGGTAAATTTAGACACAAAAGTGTTTTCCAAACGATATCGGTTCGAAAGAATTGTAATTAGAAAAAACGTCAGCTTTAAAACTTTTTGCACCAACCAATTTTAGCGTTATTAACTCAGTTGATAATACTTTATTGCCCTGTTATTCTTGCCCACCGACGCAGCACCACAGTTTCTTTAAAGAGACTCTTCTAGAGTTTTATGTTGCAATTTTCGACAATATCATCATGTTTACAATACCTTGGTAATTTTCTCCTCCGCTGAATTCTTCTGGACAGGTACACCGAAAACCTTTACTTGTGAAACCAGCTTGGCAGGTGCCTCCATTTAAAC